ACTATCAAAATAATCGTTTGTGGCAGCCCTAGCTAACACCAGCAGGGGCAGCCCAACTCAGCAGAGGTGAAGAGCGTAAGAACTGACGACTGTGATGACAGCGGCTATATGTGCAGGTGGGGCGTGAGCGTGTCATCACATGTGAATAAAGGTTTCTTCAGCCAGGACACGCGTGGGCGTGATATCCCGTACAGGTTTGCTGTGCATTGTCGACGTATAGACAGTACCGTATAGAGATCTAAAATATGTAGCATTTGACCTTTGACCTCTCTTTCAAGGTAAAATAAGATCAAACTTTCATAAACCTAACTCTACTGTTCATATTGGTAACATTTAGGAAATGACACCAGTTTAAGAGTTTACCTGAAATTCTCCTCCATCCACTTCTCCAGCTCTTTGGTGACCTTCTGCTTCTTCCACTCGTTCATATCTGCAACAAAGACTCCAGGGTTGAAAGAGCAGTCGCTGGGGTTGATGCCCAGGTCTTTCACTTCCTGTTTCCTGTAGTCCAGGAAGCCCATGTAGGTTGTCTAGGGGACGAGCTCAGAGGAGAGAATACCAGATAATAATGACTGAATCCCTCCCACATGTTACTATGTCAAATAAAACCTCTTTAATGTGAGATTTACACGAGGCATAAAAGTCTAAAATAACAGAAGCCGTAAAAATCCACCTGCATCCCGACGCTGCGCACCATCTCGTGTGTGGAGGGGAGGTCGCAGTCTGTGGCGAAAGCAGCCGCGTGTCCTGGCTTCAGTTGGATATTAAACAGATCCCTGATGTCACCTGAAACACAACCAGACTGCAGTGCTGTATCTGTCCCCATCCTGATACTCGTCACACTTTCATGTTTCAGATCCTAAAACTCATTTTAATAATTAACAAACAGAACCAGAGTAAAGGCAAATAATGATGTATTTATTGAGAGATCTTCTGGGTGTAGTTAGTTCTCTAGGAGCCAATAAAGGGCTCCTGGGTGTCATGTCAGGGTCTACCTCTGAATTCAGCCGTTTAATAACTCTGTGTGACGCTGCTCGTTAGCACAGTTGTGTCTCATTTAGAAGATTACACAAGTGTAATTTATTATCAGACTGATTGTAGACATGCGTACCCTGCACGATGATGTCATCATCTAAGTATATCACCCTGGAGTGGAGGATGTCGAGCAGAGGGAGGTAAAACCGCACAAAGTTGAGCTGCAAAAACAAAGTTTTTCATTTCTTTGAGACAGAAACTCTGTGCTTGGTTCGGCTGATGGCACGGATGCAGACGCAGCACTCACGGGATGTAAGAGATCAGGTCGAGATGAATCTGGCTTCACTTTTCCAACAAGGACCATCGGGTTAAACTCCACTATCTTGTAGCGGATGCCTTTGAGTTTTGTCTTCTCTATGTACCTCCTGACACGTGACACAAAAGGAAGATTAGGTGAGAAATCCTCACTTTGGGCAACAATACTGGGAGAAAACCACTGATGTCCATATTTGGAACAAAGTGCGGTTCATGTTTTTGTAGTTCAAAGATGCACCTGGTGAGTTTGACAGCATCACGAAGAGTCACAACGTAGAAGAAAACACTGGCGTCTGTGTTGCTGATGATGCTGTTGATGGTTGCCATGGAGGCACCCATGCGCTCCTCTGATGCACAGATGACGACGGGCACGACATCATGCGCTTCTGCAGCGTGTTCCTGAGAAACTTTTTTCCTGTTCTCTGTCAGGAATCAGGAGTTTAGACTGGTTTAAGCTCA